GTGCTGACGCACAGGCTGGTTTGACAGAGCCTGCGTGGATCCAGGATGTGCTCAGTGCGGTCGTCGAGCCCACCAAGGATGACGACCACTTTGGCCTCTTTCTCGGCTTCATCCCCAACATTGAATGGTTGGTACTTCGCGAGGGTAACCCCGACGCAACTTGGCCTGAACTGGTCGAAAAGTGGTACGGGAAATTCGATGTGAAGTTTGATCCGCGCCGTGGAGATACCCCATCCAGAATCATTGGAGATCTCAACCTCGCGGGGTGGGCGACCGTGATGGCCGACCTCATCCGAGATATGGCGGTGTTGGCATGTGGCACCTACAAGGCCCCTCACGCTTTGGACATCACTAAGCGGTATGACATCTGCAACCGCATAGTGCAGCTCAAGGATGGACTTCGGGGGCCTACCGGTTTTCCCAGAACTTGCCAGAGTACTTGGTGATTTCTTTACACCGGCATTCGAAAGGATGGCCCCTCCCACGGAAGTTCGTGGGCACTTTGTCATTGTTGGCGACTCTTCGCTGGCACTATGTGAACATCAGAGTCGGCGTGCCACCTACAAGACAACGTTCGAGGCCCCGCTCTCGCAGGCCGTCCAAATCGATCCGAGGATCTCATCCACGCATGTCCGAATGCTCTGGGGTAAAGGGCTGCACGAGATTGCCAACGTCATCGGCGAGCTGCTCACCGAACGCCCGGAGGTAAAGTACCCCGACGGCCTTGACATCATGGGCCGGGAACGATGTCTACGGTCCATACGGCTACCTGGGCTATACATGGCATCTCTCTCAGAGCGCGGGACTAACGTTCCAGCAAATCAAAGACCGAGTCCACTGGCCCGCAAAGCAAAAGGCCAGGGTTCAGCGGTCGCTGGACAGGATTATCGCCGCTGCTCGGCACGATTGCGTGAACTCCATCACCTTCGTCGGCGGCCCCGAGAACTCCTTGATGTTTATGCTCCCGAAGGCCTATGACGAGGCGATGTCCGAGCACTTCACCACGATCGCCGCCGCCGGGCTCAACGTCATCGACCCGATGCCTCTTTTGGCAGAAGTCGACAAATTCGACGATTACCATATGGCATACACGGAGCAAAACCTCAACGTATGCTCAAATTGGTACCGAGCTATTTGCAGCGGCATCCTAACGGATCGCCTTATCAAGGTCAGGAAATGCGAGTTTGCGGAGAATTCTCGAGCCAGGATCTTCCAGAAGCATTTCCGGGGGGCGACAGCCCAGCCCAACATTCCGCTGCCACCCATCTCTGGACTCATCAGACCTGATTGGGGTGAGCAGCTGAGGCTGGAAAGAGGAGAAGACGAAGAGATCGTGCTCAATGAACCATTGCTCGCCAACCCATCAGAAGGTCAAGAAGATCCAATGCCGTTACTCCCGAATATCATGGAAGAGGTGACCGAGGTCGACCACGCCATGTTTGCTCCCGCAGCAGCAGTTCTGGGAAAGGAAGAAGAAGAACTCCAGGCCACCATTGGAGTTTCTCTCGTCCAAGAGCTTGATCAGGAAATCCCAGATGCGGACGCCGAAAGGATCGAGAACGAAGGTGAAGTCCAGAAGTTTGTCGTTCCCGATCAAACGGCGGGCGAAAGCCCTGCTGAGGAGCTCATTGCCACGAGCGTGGTCCGCCAACCACCGTTCTTCAACATTCCGCAGTCCTCCGATGATGGTGAGGCTGAAGAGGAGGAAGAGCAGATCATTTTCCAGACCGCTGCACCCAAGACAAAAGCTATGCCGAAGGCTGCGACAACCACTACATCAGACACAGCGGCTCCAGTCGTCGACCTTACTTTGCCGATAGCAAGTAGGTCACGCGAGCCAGCTGATGAGCCTGCAACGACAAGCGAAAGCTTGGGCCGATCGCAGTATGCATTCACCACTGCGCATGAGGCTCCTACGGAAGGTTACCACTGGATCATGGGTCATGAACTTCCACCTATTGATTGCGACTTCCGTCGACTCAATGCCTCAAAGATGGAGACGCTCAATCGCAAGATGACCTACCTTCTTCGTGGATGGTCTATGCGGACTGCATCCGGCCCACATCCCGACTTTGACACGGCAGACTTGAGTGTCTCTTGGACCAGTTTCCTCGCCAACCTTGAGAAGATCTGGAACAGGCTCAGAACCACCGATGTGATCGACACCTTGGCATCAATGCAGAAAACAAGATTCCAGGTGTTTGTCGCGTTGAAGCACGGCAAGTACTTCATCACGAGAATCCGAGCCATCCAAGGGCATTCTTCCGACATCCTAACGGATGATCAGGACTGGGTCGCCATTCACAGCGACATCTACCACCTTTCATCCAATTGGGATCCATCGCCTATGACCCGTCCTCCGGTGGGGTACGATGGCCACCTCTCAGCTGCCTTCGCAGATTTCCCCAAGATCGCCTACCATGCAACCAAGAGGAAGAACATTGCCAGCGTGATCTTGAACGGGCTATTTCCTGGAGGCCTCACGATGGACGGAAGTCCTGTCAAGCCTTACGTCATGTTCTCTGCTGAGCCCAACTGGATCAGGACAGATAACGA